ACTATAATTAAATGAAATACTCATAAGAATAAAAAATTATGTGTTGAACTGTATTTGCATTATGATGATATTATATTGTCATTCTGGCATTCTATAATGGCATTAAATGGTCTTAAAATGACAATAATATCACTTATCACAATATATTTTGGTGCAATATATCATACAACGAAAATAAAATATTGTGACAGGCCTACGACTCCTGTGATGTGATTATTGCAATAGCAATATATTGTGCAGGCCTAACCCAAACATTGATACACTTAAAAAATGAAGTATTTTGAGCTGCCAGAGACATTTTGGATGACAGAGATTGAATTTCTGAAAACCTTTTATAGTGGCATAACATGTCCGCTTTTAGATACAGAAGCATACTAGAGTTGCTTGATCCTGAATCTACTTTGACATCAACAGTGGCAGCAGTGCATGGCATGCATAATAAACCCCAGTGCGCGTGCATGTGCATCTATGCAAAATGCATATATATATATATGGAGTAGAAAGTGACCCACTGGTGCACTTTTCAAACACTTACCATGGTGAACGGGGGGTTTCTGCATCTCGCTGTGCCAGCACGACGGTCTGTCACGTCACACAACACAGACTCTGGTCATGTGGTTAAAAATGAAGCTACCGTAGCCTGTCTGTGAGGATGTGGCATGTTTAATATATAAAGAGTCAAGCAGCAGAACTGAAGAAAGCTGCTGGTGGCTCTTAAAGGCCTGTCTTGTACGTCCCGCTCATGTTTGTAGTTGGTTTTTGCATGTGAGTTTGATTGCATAAGCTTATGAAACTTAATTTTTCATCAGGTTATTATTATAATTATTGTTTTTTTGAAGGTGGTGCCAAGTGGCAGTTCTGGCTACTGTGGTTTACCACATGAGAAAAAACAATGACATATTATTGATGTCATCATTTTGTAAACATGTATCTATAGGTGAAGCATTTGATTGGAGAGCAGAAGGCCTCAAGTAAAAGTCTTGACACTATTAATGATAATGATGATAATAATTATACTAATAATAAGTAATACTTATAATAATAATTATTATTATTATTATTAATATTATATTGATGATAATAAAAATATTCAAATGAGATTTTTCTTCGATAAAAAATAAATTTGTGAAAAATACTACAATTTCTTCTACCATTGCTACTATTATTACTAGCTACTACTATTCATTCCAAATACTACTTTGACAAATGTTGCAGCTGTTAAACAACATAATGTATTTTAGAGGCTATTTAGGAGAGAATGTAGTTTTTTAGATTGCAACTATGCAGTTTATTTATAAGGATTGCGCTTATTTTAAATGTTTATAATTTCAGAGAATCAGCGCATTGATGGCCATCATTGAGTAGAGCAAAGAAAGTTGACGTTCCGTCACATATGGCGACAGAGACCACATAATAATTCCTTAGGGGAGAAAAACTTAGCGTTAATTTCCAACTTCAGCTTATTAAATCCTTATTAAACAGGTAAGTGACATTCTAAGTCGATCTCTCTCTCGTGTATGTTGATATTACAAACACCAGCAATCCAGTCTTGTAGATCACTGGCAATCTTTCACTTTCATTCAGGACCATAAATCTTTTACCATATGGACTACAAATCCTCTTATGCACTACACACCTGTTCCGGTTTCGCATTGATTGCTAACACACAGCTGAAGCTGTTCAGAACTGATTACATGGATTTTTAAAGCAGCACGGACACACAATTGTTGCTGAGTCCTGTTTGTCTTTTTATCTGTGAGCATTACGACGTGTTTTTCCTTGTTTAGCGTAGCCGTGTTTTGACCCTTGCCTTGTGTTTTCGTTTTGATTATTTGACCACTGTTCTGGATTTGCCTGCATGTACCTGTTTGATCCTGTTGCCTGTTTGACCATTCTCATAATAAACCTGCATTTGGACCCTCAATTGCATTGTCAGCGTCCCTCTGGTATTGTTTGCTTTGCTTTGGCTTTTTTTGGGGATATTTATTGTGATTTCCTGATTGCAACAGAGAAATACTTGGAAATCTCTGTAGACTGATGGAATTTCATGAATTATAATCTTAAAATGTGAGCAAATTCACCTGTCTTGTCATCACTCTACATTACACTAGATCATTCAAATACTAGCTCTAAAGTGATGTTGCAATGATCTCTGGTTGAGCAATGGTTTCTGCTGTTCTGACATCAGCTGCAGATGTGAATGGCAGAAGAAAGTAGTTCCTTATACAAAATGATTTTTTAGACTCTCCTTGTTTGATTTTCTTTTTCTTATACAGGATTATGCCATCGAACTGTTGTATGAACAAAATATCACACTCATAGCAGTGTGACATGGCTCTGTATAGGCACTCCATCCCACAAGTGCCGATATACTCATGTAATATTTCTCACATATATTAGTGCTGGGCAAACATTATTCACATCCAAAATAAAAGTTTGTTTTGAAATAATATATGTTTGTGTATTTACTTTGCATATTATTTATTCACGCATACAAAACTATACAAAACTATTTTGTTACATAGATATTTAAATTTATATAAAATTTGTATCATATGCATATATAATTTATATCTAAATATAAATAACAAATTTATTGTATATATATATATATATGTATATATATATATATATATATATATTATTGTTGTTGTTGTTTAGTTCAGCTGTGATTTTGCTGTGATTAAACAAATGACTATTAATAATAATAATAATAATAATAATAATAATAATAATAATAATAATAATAATAATAATAATAATAATAACTGCTGATAATGTTGATGTAACATTTTTTATTTATTCATTCATTTTCGGCTTAGTCCCGTTATCAATCAGGGGTCACCACAGCGGAATGAATCACCAACTTATCCAGCATATGTTCTACGCAGCTGAAGCCGTTCTAGCTGCAACCCATCACTGGGAAACACCCATACACTCTCACTCACATACATACAGTACGGACAGTTTAGCCTACCCAATTCACCTATAACGCATCTTTGGACTTGTGGGGGAAACCAGAGCACTCACATGAAACACAAAAACATGCAAACTCCACACAGAAATGCAAACTGACCCAGTAGAGGCTCAAACCAGCGACATTCTTGCTGTGAGTCAATATTGCTGCCCGCTATGCCGTAATATTTTTTTTATTATTATTAACACATAAATAGGGAGAATATTTGATATTTCAACAATGTAAAAATATCTTTGAATAATTGCTTGAATTATTTAATTTTAACTTATTAAGCAGCCAAGCAAACATTTTGATGTTTTAGGCACATAGAGTGGGTAGATGATGACAAATTTTAAGCAAATGATCCGCTTGTTCAAACTGCGCAAAATCACACCATCAAAAGAATGAGTGATTTCTGTCTCAGCATTTACAGTAATCATGCAATATTATTAAAGAAACGTTTATTTTCTGTTGATGATTCATAATAGTGCTTCCTACATCAACACAGATAATACAATAAGGTGCAAAAGACAGTTCATCAGTCACTAAAGCCTCAGTAGAGAGCATATCTCTCTCACACACACATACACACACACACACACACACACAGAATTTGAGCTGAAGTAAGAGGATTTGATTCATCCATATTCACTGTATTGAAGAGACTGGAGCAGTTTCTCGGTCAGTGTGCACTGGGGGCCATAAGCTCTTGGTGTTAAGTCACTTTCCTGCTTGAATAAAGTCTATCCCGCTGGGGCCAGAATAACTTCACACTTAGGGATCACACCGTTAATTGCACTTTCAGAATGGAGACACGGTGGAAAGAGCTGCTTTATTAATGTACAGGTGCAAAAAAAATCAATAATTAACTAATAATACGGTGGATTGAAGGCAATAGTGTTGTAAAGTTTTGATCATTTTGCTTTACAAGAGCTCAGTGTGTCATAAAGCAGCCACAGTTATTAATTTTTCTTTGCATATATATATGCGTTTTTGACTATCAAAGTACTGGCATGCATTAATCTGATGCTAATTATAGTGGTTAATGTTTAATAACTCATTGAAATCAAAACATTTGCATAATAATGTCTATAACAAATGCAGCCATTGATGTTAATGCATTAGCCAACGTCAACATGACCTTTTGCAAGGTGTTTCCTATGTACTTTTTACTTCTTATTCAGTTGTATTTGTTTTTACATAATAAATGCATGTTTAAAAATTAATTTTTATATGCAATTAAGTAATACACAAAAAATTGGGGTTTTAAAACGTCCCTTGCTATGATACTATTGATTATAATACTTTATTTGATATTTAAGTTATTTTGAATACTATATTATACATTGTTTTATACTCTCAAAGTTCAATGACACTTATCCAAAAAAACATGCTATATGATATAACACTATAAAACAAAAAAGGTAGAAACACCATTGGCTATGTAGATAAAACATAGAAATACACATTCACAGAACAAAAATGCTTCAGAAAAAAAGGACTGCTCCCAATAAATTACAATCGTCCAGAATCCTTGACAGAACCATTTATAAAAATAGCTTATACCATACCATGTAACTTTTTAAGTTTTTTTATCAGCAGATGACCAGCATGACATTTTCACAAGCAAACATTTTAACTCAGGACACACTTTAAACCATCTTCTCCTTATTAATATCCTCTCAGTCCTGTATCTTCCCACTTCAGCGCCCCTCTCAAGAAAATACCAAATCAATAAAAGCATCAATATGAGCTCAGAATACACATTCAATCATGTCCAGTCTGCTGAAGAAAAAAAAGAGATCTCAGCACAGTCCTTAATCGTGTTTCAGACTCACCGAGGCTCAGAAAATGAGTCTGCAAGCAAAACCCGTGTATTTGGGCTATTTAGAGCGAGAGTTATATAAAGTGACGAACAAAATAAGAGTCTCGCAAAGTTCAACCCAACAAACCAGCGCATAAAACGCGACTAAATGACAGAAAGCACAGCTTAAAGTTTGACATTTGATGGCAAGGGTTAAGGGAAGACGTATAGCGAGCTTACCGTGCGTTTCACAGAGCCAAAGAGACTGATGCGGCGCGCAGCATCCCTGCCATCCTCACTGACAAGTCTTGTTCTCCGGCATGATCCAGCGCTCCTCAGCTCTCCTCCAGCGCACGCAGCGGCAGCAGGAGCATCGCGGCCGGGCTCGGGCTCTCGGGTCGTCTGCTGTGGAGCGCGCAACGCCGCCTACTCTGATTGAGTTTGCAGAGGCTGCGATGATCGCTCACTTTCTCCAGGCATATGGACCATGTGATGAGACTCATCCCTCCATTTGCAGGAGCCTGAACAGCGCCACCCGATGGAGAGATCGTGCAAGACAACACCGGTGGTGTGTCTATAAATAAATAAATATATATATAACTGGAGCAGGAGATTTAGAGGCAAAAAAACTTCGACACTTTACTTGAAGGTGTGTTCATAAGACTGTCATGACACCTTTATAATCATGACATATCACAGAAAAAAGAAAAAAAAAGTGTCTTCTCTCAGGCAATCCATCTCATGAAAGCTTGATAATAATAATACATGCACGCACTTTTATGTTTAACAACATACTTTGTTTACATTTATTTTTTACAGTCATTGATTTAAAATTCAACATAATATATATAGATATAATACTGTATATAATATAGCTATATACATTTCTCAATTTGCATATTTTTATTCACTACACTGTAAAAAAAAAAAAAAAAAAAAAAACATTTATTGAATTAATAATTTTTTAAGGTAAGGCATGCAAGTAGGCATTTTTCATTCTGCAAATTACAAACTGGCCAGATCATTTAACTTACCTGTGTGAGAATTTGGCCATTTGAATGACATGTAATAATGACATAATAATAATAATGACAAATAATAATAATAATAATAATAATAGTAGTAGTAGTAGTAGTAGTATGTATGTATGTATGTATGTATGTATGTATGTATGTATGTATGTATGTATGTATGTATGTATGTATGTTTATATTCTTAATGATGTAGAACTTTTTTTTATTGTATTCAAATTCATTTTAATATGCTTCAATTTCATTTGTCATTTTTGTTTCAAGAATAAGTCTAAGATTCAGATTAAAAGTCACTTGTACAAGGTTTTCTATATATAAAATAAAATACAGTGGCAAAAGATGATGACCCTAATTGTATGTTTTCTTGCACAGTTGGATGTTGGACTCATGAAAAATATTTGTTAGCACTGGCCAAAACTGATTAGCTGAAGTCACACTAAAGCAACAGGCAAAAGAGGAAAAGCCTTTTTCAAGGCTACCGGCCTGTAATGGGTTGCTAACAATTTATATGGGCTGAATTTAAACAAACAAAATAAGTTGGACTTTGAACGTTACTAAATTTATTTCATTTTGTTTAAATTCAGCCCATATAATTAGTTTGCAACCACTTAACTTTAAATATTGAGAAAATGCAATAAATATTTTTTTTGAGTGTATTAATTTTTTTAATTCTTTAATTCGTGTAAACAATAAAACTCTTTATGATTCTGATTCCTTCAAAATATGTAGGATTACACATGCTCATGACAACAGTTATTAAGTACCATTTGCTCAGTTATTTTAAATGTGGGTATGACATTGAAATGTCTTGTTTTTTGACAACTTGACATTAAGAAATACATCACAACTTGTCTTTGTTTTGTCAAGACAACTTTTCAATAATCTGTGATAGACATGAATGATTGTCTTGAGGCATTATTACTGTCATAACTATTTTTCACTGTCATTAATATTTCTCTGTAAAAATTTCAATAGAGGCGACGCAGTAGGTAGTGCTGTCGCCTCACAGCAAGAAAGTTACTGGGTCACTGGTTTGAGCCCCGGCTGGGTCAATTCAGTTGGCATTTATGTGTGGAGTTTGCATACTCTTCCTGCGTTTGCATGGGTTTCCTCCGGGTGCTTCCCTCATAGTCCAAAGACATGCGGTACAGGTGAATTGGGTAGGCTAAATTTTCCGTAGTGGATGAGTGTGTGTAATTGAGTGTGTGTGGATATTTCCCAGAGATGGGTTGCGGCTGGAAGGGCATCCGCTGCATAAAAATGTGCTGTATAAGTTGGCGGTTCATTCCGCTGTGGCGACCCCGGATTAATTAAGGGACTAAGCCGACAAGAAAATGAATGAATGAATGATTTTTCAATAATAGGGTGGCACAGTGGCTCAGTGGTTAGCACTGTGGCCTCACATCAAGTAGGTCACTGGTTCAAGTCCTAGCTGAATCTGTTGCCATTTGTGTGTGAAGTTTTGTATGTTCTCCCCGTGTTTGTGTGGGTTTTCTTCCAGGTGCTCCCTCATAGTCCAAAGACATGCGCTTTAGGTGAATTGATGAGCTGAATTGGCCGTAGTGTATGAGTGTGAATGAGAGTGTGTATGTGTGATTCTCAGTTCTGGGCCAAGTTTAGCTGAGGCCAAGAAACAAATAATAATGACAAGCATGTTCGTGACAAATGTATGATAATTTTTGTTGTCTTAATAATTCCAAGTTGTCATTGCAAACACGTTATAATGTATTTGTTTTTGTTAAGTCGTCATAACAAAGACATCTCAACAATGTCATCCTAAACATGCATAAAATCTCATTCATATTTATGATGTGTCGGTTCATGACATGAAAGTCTCATGAACTCTCCCTTCAAGTACAGTGATTCCAAAACTTCTTTATCTGAATAAATTTGTATTTTGTCCTTTTTGTCAGGTATTATATCGATTTATGATTAACAATTATTGCTTTTAAAAATATATAGAGCATGGTTGTGTTCTTGATTTAATGGTAATAGTGGTTGAGTAAACTGTGCTCAAAATCAACCCTAAACTCATTCACTGTTCCCTACATTAGCCTACTTA